AGCAGATGTTAAAATAAGGACTATTTGTGAAATTGTATTTGGGCTGTCTCAAGCTGTGTCTAAACTGGTTGCATATCCCAGGCACATCCAAATAGAGGTTAGTCCTTTGTGTGCACGCTTCTCTTCCCCACGCACAACTGCTTTTCACAGCAAGGAAACAGGATCATGAGTGAGACGTGAGCTGTGGAGTGTGAAGTACCATGAGCCAGATACCGTGCTTCCAAGCAAAATGTTTCAATACTTTCTAGCTGTGTCCTCATCAACAGCACAAGCCACTTTCAAACTTGAATTACCTTATGCTGCCTTGCTTAAAAAAGATAGATAAAAGTCTCTGCTTGCTTAAAACCTAAGACTGGAGATTGGGTCCCAGGCGCGGAGAAGCAGAGTCAGCACTAACACTGGAAGTCCTGACGTTGCACTGCATTGACATGAGTGATGTTGAGGTTCCGGACCAAAACCATATACTATTGTGCTGTTTCCATGAAAGTCAGTCTTGGAAACCAAACATATACAAACCGCAAACCCACAGTGCTCGAGCCCTTGTCACCTACTCGAGCTCATCTTAGAACTGACACCAGCTTCCAAATATTTTTCCAAATATTTTTAAGAGCTCTTCAATTTTTTTTGCTTTTATTTTCTCTCTCTCTCTCTCTTTTTTTTTTTTTTGGTTTATCCATAACAGAAGCCTGTTCACAGGCTCTTGTTATAACAGCCAAAAAAACTCTGGAGATTGGTGCTGGAAATTGAGGGTTTATCACATTCCTAAAGCTCCTTGCAATATCTAATCTATATAACAAAGGACAAGAAGGGAGGGGAAATCGGCCCTAAAGTCCACATATTAAAAGTCCAAAAGGGTGAGGATGCTGATGGAGGGGGAGGTGTGTGTACAGCCCAACAAGACGAGATGCAGCATCTGCACTGAACCAAGTGGTTCTGCCTGCTGAAAACATCCAAAGCCCTGGACTTTACTCTTGCTGTAAAAAACATAAGAGAAGCATGTAAAAATGACAAGTGGGTTTGACAGAGCACATGTAGATAAAGTGATCCGAAGGGAAAGGCAGAAGGTGAGGGCTAAACGAGTGGCAGTCAGAGCTCCTTTTGGTTCTGCCATTTCTAGGAGCCAACTGAAGAGCTGGAGCTGGAGAAGTGTTGGGTCCCAGGGCCAAGAGGACCCGTGGGAGCAAACCCAGCTCATGCCCTGGGATCCGCTGCCACCATGAGGGTAAATCAAGGATAAATGAGGGTAAATCTGTGTCATTCTGCTGGCTTCATGGGATTAAGCCCATTTCCTAGACAATACGTGCCCCATTATACAGCCACGCAGCTTAGATGATCCCCCAGAGATGACATGTGAGTTCAGAAATTAAATCTGGCCAGTGTTTCCTTGGGAGGGATGGGCCTCAACAAACCTATCGTCCACTTTTATAACCCTGCACCCAGACCGAGATCAAGTAAACAAACAAACCAATCCCCACGGGTTGCATTGCCAAGTAAGGCAGTAGAAGCTAATGATATAAATACATTGCACACGAGCCATCTTTATCAAGAGAGGAAGTATTAAGAGCTGCAGTGACCAAGCAACACAGGAGAAAGGAGGATAAAGGGGGACTGAGATAAGGCTAATGAAGAAGGACAAATAGAGCCAAGTGGCTTTTTCCTGTTAAAAAATTCCTCCTGTCCTTATCTAACTTGAGGACAGAGAGGGGAGCTTTCTCAGCCAAAGGAACTGTGTGAACGGGCTCCAGCAGCCAGAGGGAATAGCATGGAGGAGAGATGGGAAGCAGGGGCACAAACCTAGGGAAAAACATGAAGGAAAAAAGGGAATGTGGGGCACAAACCTGCTCACAGTGAAAGCTCTGGCCTGGCCTTGGGTCCATGCAGCCAGCTCACCCCAAACCATGGCACGGTCCTCGCTGCTGCTCAGCCCAGGGACGCTGCTCCTTCTGCTTCCTCGAGGCCAGTAGGACCTAGACACCCTCAGACGTGGGTTTGGCCCCGAGAAAGCACATTTCATGGGCCAGAGTTGTTTTGTTATTCCAGGAAAGTTCCAAGGAGGACAATAAACTGCAAAGATTAATCAAAGAGGCAGAAGTAATCAAAACCAGGATGATACCTCTGGCTAACATTCCCTATTAAACTTACAGCAAGATTTGTCTTTAAATTCCTCCACGGTGTGTTTTAAATTTCTGATAATTAAACTCAGTTCAGCCATTTGGTAGCAATATAAGCCTGGCTGTCACCCGACCTGAACCTCCTCGCAGACGACTCACTTGCTCGTGGCTAGCAAAGGCCGAATCCTTCGCAGCAGGGACAGGACACCAGGAAGAGCCCGGCCCCACACCCGGCCTCCTCAAACAGAGCTGAAGCCAGTGGAAAGAATCCAAGCGACTTTCGAGGACACTGGCTCAGTGCTGGGATTTCAGGCCATGGGGACAGGGGTAGGAGGCAAAAGGACGGAGCAGGTGTGAGGCCAGGGAGGGATTTGTGTGATTGCACACATAAGCCTCTTGCAAAGTCACCCTGCACCTGCCCAGCTCCCCGCTGGCCTGCAAGCAAGTGAGCACCCATAGACCGGTGTCACTAATAGCCCGTGTTTGCCCGGACTGACCTCACCACCCCAGACCCGTGCTGGAAGTGGCCTTGTCTCCAGCCCTGTCCCAGCCCCATCTCCTCGCTGGGCTCCCTGGACAGGCCTCGTCTTGTGTAGTGGCCACACGATCATGGATGGGGTCAGTCACTACCCGGCTGCTGCGGGACTGCGCGGTGCTGGGAGCTTTCTGACTCACCTTCCTTCATGGAGCTCCTGCCCTTCCTGGACAGGGAGTTAAATATCATATTTTCCACCATATTTTTCATTAGTTCCCCCACCGCAATGTGGTGGTAGATGAAGAGGGATTAAGATTCCAGGCCAGTCAACTCAATAATTTGTGCAATTTGAAATTTTGAAGAAAGGGGTTTAATGAAAGCTTGGCTTTGCTTTTAGATAAGATTAGTTTAAAATGCAGAGTTATGTCATGGAAAGTTGCATGTTGTTTGCAAATTTAAAAAAGAACCAGAGAGCTGCAGATGCACATATCCATGCACTTTCACACCTTCGTCTAGCTCAGCTCTGTGGCAGAAGAAGCTGGGCATTTTTATCATTCAGCCTGAAAAGCAAATTCACTTGGATGTGCCATTTGTTGCCTAATTTATCCAGCAGTAAGGTAAGATTATAACAGTCCTTATTATTTCCCAGAATTCCTGTCAGTCTTAACAAAATAGAGATTATAAGTATGTGAACAACCCAGATTGATGTTCCCTTCGTATGACACACAGTAAGATCAGCATCTGAAAAGCACAGTTGAATTACAAAGCATGATTAATAACTACTGTGTTTTGATAAGACTGAAATATTTTGTGAGAAAGAGCTAGTGGCAATAAAAAACAGGTGATAAACTCCTAGTAGCTCTTCTTCATAACTGGAAGATTTATAACTTTTCGAAGAAGATGGAGAGGGATTTCCTGACTCCCACCTTCAAGCAATGGAATATATTGCACTGAAAAGTGAGAGCTGCTGAGAATTTCTGAAATGAAATATTCCACGTGGCATCCCCTGTATCCCCACATGGAGCCTCAGTTTGCCTGTAGAAGCTAATCCTTCTCAGAGCTTTTCTCACATACATATAGAAATGCTCACCATGGATGTCTGTGTGAGCTGACCCAGTTTCACAGCAGCCCATTCCTTACAAGCTGAGATGAGCAATACAGGAAGGCCTGTGTTTTATTGCAGAACTAGAGCATCACTCAGGATAACTGCTGATATTTTGTTCCAACAACTTTTTAGTGTGGTTTTTAGCAGTAATTTAATTTTGTGTTTTAATAAAAATGGCAGATGTAGGCTGCTGTGGAGCAAATCCCCGCATGAAATACACTCTGAATTCCAGACAAACATGTTTTAATAGACTTCCCTCATATATCATGCAAGAAGAAGATTTTCAGATGCACAGATGCTATCCAGTTACCTCCATTCTGCTGGCAGCTGCTTCATAGACCCTTGCTGCACTGAAAATAAGCTCTAAAAAGTGACAGCACAAGAAAAATATGGCAGAAGTGATTGCATTTGGAACAAGTGCCATCTGCCCATTTAAAAACCACAAGCATCTAATAACCTGTAGCAATCTTGTTTTCCCAGCTTTTTATTATTATGAAATATTTACAGGACAAAAGTCCCAGAAGTCCCAGGCAAGATGAGCAGGTCAGTGCTGCAAAGCAGAGAGAGATCAGCAAAGATGGACAAGATCAGCAATGTCCCTTATGCCATCATGTCACACCCCATCCTCATTCAGAGCTGCCCTCTGGCTGGGAACAGCCTTCCTGCCCGTCCTCCATGGAGAGGAGAAGGGGAATGAGCTTAAAGTCCATGCAAAGAGTTTGGAAAACACTAATTCATCTCACTCCATGCTATGCAAGGGTTTCAACATAAAGGCAACATAGGGACTTCACAGATCTGCACATGTGGAAGTGTTTCTTTGTAGATGTGAAGGTTTTATGGAAGCTAAAGCAAGCTTATTATTGAATTTCTTTTTGTATGCTGTAAATTACTAAAGAGAGGTCCCAGATTTCAAAATCTAGCCTGGATTTCAACCTCCCAGAGTGCTGGGCTGATTGATTTCATGGTTATAGTTCAACTGCTGTCAAGGAGCCAGCTGAAAATTGGCATGTGGTTCCAGCTTCAGATTTTGATTATTTTTGGACCAAGATCCGGGTGTGTCTGGAGTTGGGATTTTACATTATGTCTCTATTAAGTAAGAGTTTGCAAAAACTCAGCCCAAGAGGAAGGATCACATTCCAAGGAACACAGACTATTTTTTAACAGAATTGTTCTTTACCTCTCAGGTCCCCTTGCAGGAGGTGATGTTGCAAGCAACAATGTGCTTATGAAGGGGGTTTGCAGCCTGAAAACTACACCCTGCTCTTGCTCAGGCAGTACAGCAAAAGGCAGTAGCATCTGGATCCAGTATTGGAACATGGGATCATGGACCTCTCTGTACTGTCCTGCACAGCCTGGCAGGGGATGTGAAAGAAGACTCATTAGCTAATTCTTCCAAACTTGATACAAATGTCCAAACATTATAGCAACAAAATGATCAAGAAAAAGCTATCTGTCTCAGAGCCAATAGGGAAATTGAGAGAGATGCCCACATGCCCCAGGATGGCAGTGATGTCCAGAGACATGCAGCAACATAGGCAAAGAAGCTCAAAGAGAGGGAGAATGTGGAAAGCAGTGCAAAGCTCCCTTCCCACTGCATTGGAGAAGCCACTCTTCAGCCTGGCTCCAAAAGTCTTCTCTCCTTGCCTTAACATGGAACTTCCCACCTTAACACCTTCTCAGCCAAGCAAATCCCGTAGCTGCAAGCACTGGAACCAGGGACATGGGAAATCTGGTGACCTTCCAGACCCTGGAAGACTTCTTGCCTGTCAGAGTGACAGGCAGATGAGGGGAATAACAGGTTCTCATGGGTCTTATACGAGCAAAAGAAAGCTATTCTGTGGCCAAAGCAATGAGAAAACTTCCACATGGCATCCATTTATCTCTGCATTTATCTGCTGTAAGATCCTGCTAAAGGTGTTGCAGCTGTTGATGACTGGCCAGATGAGTTTCTGCCACTTCACATAACCAGAGTTCTTGAAAACACATTCACCAAACATGGCGTGATCCTCACACTAGCACCAGGAATGAGTGTGGATACATACAGCATGAAATGACTGGCTGGATGGATGATGGGAGAGCTGTGGGTGTTGTCACCTTGACTTCAGCAAGGCTTTCAACACAGTCTCCCATAATATCCTCATAGGAAAGCTTATGAAGTGTGGACTGGATGAGTGGACAGTGAGGTGGATTGAGGAGTGTCTGGATGGCAGAGCTCAGAGGGTGGTGATAAATGGGGCTGAGTCTGTTTGGAGGCCTGTGGCCAGTGTCGTCTTGCAGGGGTGAGTACTGGGCCCGGTGCTCTCCAACTTGTTCATCAATGACTTGGACAAGGGCACAGAGTGTGCCCTGAGCAAGTCTGCAGATGATAAAAAACTGGGTGTAGTGGCCAACACTCCCGAGGGCTGTGCTGCTATTGAGAGAGGCCTAGACAGGATGGAGAGATGGGCAGAGAGGAACCTTTTGAGGTTCCACAAGGACAGGTGCAGGGTCCTGCACCTGGGAAGGAGTAACCCCAGGCGCCAGAACAGATTATGGATTGACCTGCTGGAAAGCAGCTGCACAGACAGGGATTTTCAAGTCCTGATTGGCAACAGTTTAACCATGAGGCAGCAATGTGCCCCCATGGCCAAGAAGGCCAATGGGATCCTGGCTGCATCACCAGGAGCGTTGCCAGCAGGGCGAGGGAGGGGATCCTGCCCCTCTGCTCAGCTCTGGTGAGGCTGCACCTGGAGTATTGGGTGCAGTTCTGGGCTCCCCAGGACAAGAAGGGCATTGAGCTTCTAGAGAGGGTCCAGCATAGAGCCACAAAGGTGATTAAGGGACTGGAGCATTTATTGTATGCGGAAAGACGAAGCAAGCTGGGCCTTGGAAAAGAGAAGACTGAGAGGAGATTTGATTAATGTGTTCAAGTACCTGAGGGGAGAATGTAGGGAGGACGGGGCCAGGCTCTTCTCCATGGTGGCCAGTGACAGGACGAGGGGTAACAGATGTAAGCTGAAACACAGGAAGATCCATCTCCATGTGAGGAAGAACTTCTTTCCTGTGAGGGTGACAGAGCCCTGGCACAGGCTGCCCAGAGAGGTTGTGGAGTCTCCTTCTCTGGGGATCTTCCAAACCCGCCTGGATGCCACCCTGTGCCCTGTGCTCTGGGTGTCCCTGCTGGAGCAGGGGGTGGGACTAGATATCTCCAGAGGTCCCTTCCAACCTCAACCATTCTGGGATTCTCTGATTCTGTGATGACCCGTGACCACTTTGAGGGTAACTGATAGACACTGCTCCAAGCACAGCACGAGTGGCTGCTTTGTACATTCTCTGAATTTTCAATAAAAAGAATATTTGGGGGTTGTCTGTGTCCCTGTGGCTTCTTCATATCATATGTGCCATTCAAAGAACAAAAGGCACAAATCAGTAAATGGCAGCAGCTCCCCAGAGAAGAGTCACAGATGCACATACTAGACAGCAACTTCTCCAACACAACTTAGGAGAAGAAATCAGAATCTCCTGTCTTTCTACTAAGCTGTGGGTTAATCCCCTGTCCCCACGCCCTCTTACTACTAATGAAGTCAGTGTGCCTAATCAAACTTGATTTGGAAGAATTATGGTGCATTTCTCACCCTAAGTGACTGTCAGAATTAAGCAGTTTTTTTAAAAAAAGGAGTTTCTTGAAATACTAATATGTAAAAATGTTACTCAGTAAAGAGCACTTTTAAAAAATCATTAACTATTAATTACAATATGATTTTCTTATCTTCCCCTCCTGGTTGCCAATAGTGCTATAGAGGAGCAAACTGCTTTTTAAGTCTGGATTGCAAACCATCAACACAGCTGCAAATTCATTTCCAGATGCAGATTCTTTCTGGTTAATGAAGTTAGAGCCAGGAGAAATCTAGTTTGGCTTTGATGTTTTAAACAGTTTACACACTTCACTGTTGGAAGGGGAGAAAAATAATCTTTTATTTGTACTTTGGGCAAATTAATTTCTGAAATGGCTGAAAGGCAGACAACGAGCCCTGAGCTATCATGCTCACAGAGTTGCTCTTGAGATTGAAGCTACACATAAAAATTTCTTGGACAGAAGCCTGAATGCTCCCCAGGAAATAATTGTGCAACAGCAAAGGGATGAACCGGATGATGAAATAAATCTTTTATGCCATTACTGTTGGTGATTCTAAAATTATTAGAGGGCTATTAAGGACATGATAGCAGAAAGGACTTGTGAGAAAAAGTCAGCTAAAAGCAGCTTGAATAGCCAAATGTACTGCCAGGCCTGCTGATATACTATGGGGTCCAAGAAATATTCTAATTCTGTGAATTTTTAGAATTCCCCCCAAACCACTGGAAAAAGGACAGAAGACCCAAATGGCAGACCACAAAGACAGAAGGGGCTTAGGTGCTGCCATCAAGGAATGTCAAGGTGGGAATGAGGAGAAACAGAGATGGTAGAAACCAAATCTCCTGCCCAGAGGACAAAATGATGTTTGTGAAGGACAGGAGCTGTCTGGTTTGCTTGTTCCACTTCATGTGGTATTTCAGGGATCAGATCAGGGATGAAAATTCTTGTTCAAAGAGATGGAAATTACCCATTCCTGGGAAAGAACTAAGTATCTCAGAACAGCAAGAGAGTGTCACAACTCAGAGCTGGGATCCCTCTGAGAAAACCGACATGACTGAAAGGAGAAGGAGCAGAGTGCCAGGCCTCCAAAAGGAAGGGAGGAGAAGACTGTCCACAGCACTCTGTGCAATTTCCTACAGCTCAGAAAGTCCCTGCATTAGCTAGAACCTTGCTGGTGATGTCTCAGTGGTTCAGAGATAAGAAGTGAATTCTCAACAATGGTGGAGAATGAGTAAGAAGGAAATTCTCAGGGATGACAGTTGTGACAAAGGCAGATGTGGAGACTAGATGTGGAGAAAACTGGTGGAAGAGAGGGAGTGATGAGGGAGAGACCCAACGAGTCTGTGGAGGCTGTGCTCAGAATTTGAGAGGAGACAACCCGTAGAAAGGAATGAAAAACAGGTAAGAGGCCTTTGAGGGTTGACTGTGGAACTGAACACCATCATACTGCCCCAGTTACTGGAAGAAGAGTTATCCAAATCTTGCAGGCTTTCTCATGCTGAGAGATAAGAGAGAATTTGTCCATATTTCCCCCAACCCTATGAAGACCAACCATGAGCAACCTTGCATATACTTGGGATTTTTGAAGGCATGTGGGTAAATTCTCCCCTTACAGCATCAATTCTTTCTCAGCTACTGTTTTACCCTGCAACACGTCTTCAATGTGTGGGTCTTCAGAGAATTTTAAATAGCATATTTTGCATGGTTTCAGGTCTGGAAGGTCTGTGTGGCACTCTGACAAGTGCACAGACTTTGAAAGAAAGAGATGTGTTGCTGAGATGCTGTGAGTTCCCCAGACAAAGCAGATTATACTTCAGCTTTCAGATTTATATTATAATGTCTTACATGGGTTTGGAAAGATCACATGCAAAGGGAGAAAATAGTAGCTAAATGACACAGAATGCAGCTGAGAGGAAGCACTCAGACAGGAATGACGGATGCCTTTATTACAAAAATCCTGAGTATCTGGGGTAGAGACACGCACCTCAGAATCACACCAGAAACACAGGAAATCCTTTTTGAGGGTCTTAGCCATTTTCCTGTTCCTGAACCAATACAAAGAGATTTGGTGGAAACAGGCCTGCCTTCTAGCCAAAATGGACCTTTTCTTTGATGTATTCAGAACACTAGAGCAGCACGAAATGTGGAATTAGTTATGAAGTAGTTTTCCTAAATCCAAGGTGTTTTTCAGAGAGGGGGAAGGGGCATGCGCCAGCCAGCATAAACCGGCAACATTCCTTGCAGGAAGAAGAAGGGAAGTTTTGGAAAGTGGAAATGTAAAGTAGACTTATAGAATATGATGGAAAGGCACAAAGCCCTGTTAATATCAGTCGGGGGCAATTTCAATTTCATTTTTTTTTCAGTACTGCATTTCAATACAGTTTCCTTAATGTATTGTGCCTATGGCATATAAGCAGATTAAGGAAGAGGAATGACCTGGGGTCCATCCCAGGGCTGGCTGGAGATTAGAAGAGTGCTGAGACTGGCTTGCATTTTCTTTTGAGGACTTCCCAATCAAATGTCAATGGCTTTCATCAGATCCCAGAAAATAAGAATTCACAAAGGTGGTCAGAATCACTCAAGATGTTCCTCAGAACACACATCTGACTCAAATCCCTTTGAATTTTAAAGAAAATGATGTACATTCCAGACTGACCTCTCTATAATACTTTGATGTTGCTGTAGCAGTGTCTAAGTACTTTCCAGATTTAGCAGTTTTAGCTATTGGCTACCTTTCCAAAACAGGAAAGTTCTGTTCTCCTTTATTTCCACAGTGTAACTGGGCTCAGCTCCTTTTAGACACAATAGAGAGAAAAAAATATCATTGAGTGATTCATCTGACCTATTTTAAACATCAACTTTAAAGTAGCTTGAATCATGACCTACAATATAGCTTCTTCTCTCCATTGACTGTAAAGAAGTGTTTATCACATCTTACACATCTGCATTTACTCACTGAGAGAAGCTAAAGCCCACAGTAGAATTACCTTTATTTTACTGGAGTCTGACATTTAAACATCTTCCAGATCTGTGCATGGTTACACAGACTGGGGAAGTAAACCCAGGCCTAGGTTGCAAACTAACTTCTGACTGCTGGATAACTCTTCCTGCTGGGTCTCGTACAAAATCAGCAATGGTCTATTTTCCGCTTCCCCTTCCCTTCAGTTACAACAAAATACCCTGAAGAGGCTGAAATGGTTTAAGTTCTCCTGTTGAATCGGGCATCAACGTCACCATAGATTCAAATCTCAATATTTTCTCAATGTTAAAATTCTTGCTCAGCATCAAATTACTCATTTCTTCACTTGAAAGTTAATCCTAACTATAATTTGTCTCCAGTTTGGACACAACACCAAATCTATCTGAACTGACATCTTCCTGCATAACATGGCTTCAGAGTATCTACATCTGAATCGTTACAGCTCTTCCTATTCTTGCCTTGTTTCCCCTTAGAGCTAGGGCTGTTGCCCTCTCCCATTTCAGGTCCTCTGTTCCCTATTTCCTGTCAGCCTGCAACTACAAGTCTCAGAACTCACCGATTTTTTCAGTTCTTGAGGTTACCTGACACTTTGCTTTATAAAATCCTGCCTGTAGGCCCTAGGCTCTTTTCCAATTCAAGCTGCACAGTCTGACATTCAGACTTCACCTGACATGGTAGGGCAAACTTCACTCACAGTTCCCAAACTATTCCTGGGACGAACCAAGGAGAAGAAATAAATTGTTTCACATGTTTTGTTTTGTTTTGTTTTAAAAATAGCAATTTGGGTAAAAAGGCGGTGTTCTAGTCCAGTCATATTTGGAAGAAGAGCTTATTTTTTATCAGGCCAGGTGTTTTTGCAGAAGTTGTATTTCATGTTTTCTAAAAACGTGCCCAAAGTCTCTAAGATCTTCAAAAATGCATACAGACTCTAAAGTGCAAAGAGCCAAAGCCTTGAAAAACCCATCCTTGCTGTACGTGCTCAAACCTTTCACTTTTATCTTAGATGTTTGCAAGCCATTCACACTCGTGAGAATGTGTCACTAGCTGGGACCTGATGCTAAGCAGACTGAAAAGGCATCGAATCCACCAGAGAGCTGAGAATGTTCCAGTTGAAGATAATGGGACAATTTTGGACTTTCTGAAGAATGAGGACTTGTGGCTGGTGCTGGGACCGGGAGCTGACACTCTGTATGGTCTCTGGTCTGTGTGACTGCTTCTTGCAGGTGCTCCCAGGAACACCAAGACAGAAATAGTCTGATTTCAACATGGGAATGATTAAGTAGGAGTGAGCAGAGAGGAAGGACTAGGAGGAACTAGAAATTTGAGATTAGGAAAGAATGGAAGAAAGGTCAGGGAAGTTGAGGAAGATGTAAAATTTTCTGTGACTCTGCTACTTATGGGACTTGGTTTGGGACAGATGGTCAAAGATAGTGACTTGGAATCACTATGGAGGTTGACACAGGCTGAAGACATGAATCCATGGCTAGAATAGAAACTCTCTCCTCTTCTTCTATGTCTGTGAAGCCTACTTGGACTGCTGGTGATAGGAAGCAGCCAGAGGTGATGGCATGAGGTTGAAAGGCGAGGGGAAAACCAGAAAGGAGGTGATCAGCCATGGAAGGAGTTGGGGACTGGGCCAAGAAGGCTGGTGGCTGCGACTGTGGTCAGAAAAGTTTTGTATTCAATGTGCTCTCAAAGGAACTTTAGCTTGAGTTAATTGCTTCACAAAGACAGGGGAAGAATATCTCCCACTGAAAGACAGCAGGCATGGAAAAGAGTTCCAGGGTAGCTTGGCTCATTCGCAGAAACTCTGTGTACCGTGACCTTATGATTTTCAGCTTTACTGATGCCTTTTTCTGTCTGGATAGAGTTTATAGGTCAGGCCCCACTATGGGAGCCAGGCTGTCTCCAGACAAGGAGAAGTCTCCCCTCTTCCCATCCTCCCGGGCTAGGACTTTTATAGGCATCTCTTGATTTTGACCTTCCTGGAAAAAACTCTTGACGGTTGGATGGTCATCACTCAAGGAAAGGGCTGAATCTCACGCATTGCACTGGGGTAGGCGTGATCTTGCCATTGGACCCCACAGGACATAAATCCAATACAGTTTTTGAGACATGATTTGTGTTTTCAGTGTGCTGATATCCCGAACTCACAGCAGCTGGGGGATATTGCCATTTTTGGTATAAATTCAGTCATTGGGCTTGACACTGTTTGTTTGACAAAAAAAAA